ACCCACACCCCACACCCTCCTTTAATAGTATTTAATTTCGATTTTATCTTCGCAAATGAGAAGACACGCTCCGAAAAGTTATATGGTCGAGAAAATCTAGAAAACTGCTTCAGCGTTTGAAGCAAGAGTCATTCGCACAAAAAGCATTTAGGCTTTTTACCACCACAATGTGCTCTATCGAATGGTGTACGAGTGAACACAAACGAAGGGCATCATCTCGGGCAGTTCCCCTCATAAGTCAAGAAAATTTTCTCTATTTTCCACTTTATTGACATGATCTTTCTCTTCGAATTGTATGCGTTGCATTCAACAGACTTATGTTCGTGTCCAGATACTATTTCTTTCTTAAACAGCTACAGATACAATTTTTCTTTATTTTTTCCCAATGTCATAGTGGAAAAGCGTGATATAATAAGTGCCCAAGAATTTGCACAGCATATATTATATTCTTAAAAATGTTATTTTCCATGAAACTTTCGCAGTTTGAATACATATTTTCTCAAAAAGAAATTTCCGCTTTGCTCTGCATCAACTTCGATCGCCTTTCAGGTTTAGTTAGCTAATCTCAGGTTAATTAAAAATTTTCCACTTATTGGATCTTGATCGACTTTCTCAACTTCAAATTGATAAATATAATTTAACAATACTTCCTGTTCATCTGGGTAATGCGAGAGAGAAGAAATGTCAGTTTGCCAACTGTCTTTTACCGAAATGATGAAAAGTGCATTACCACCAAATTGTTCTTCAGCCACTCGACGGTCTTTTGTTGTTGAAGTGAAAGCTGGCCAAATAATTTTTGATCCAACAGCTCGTGCGTATTGGTCAATCATCTCTTCTATGAGTGTAGCACCACGATAGAGAACTTCCTCTTGAACATTTCGATTCTTGGATAAGTGTTTGTACAATAAATAACAGAATGGTCCCAAAGTATGGACCTTACTCATATCTTTGTTTCTCAGTGACGAATTAACCAGTTTGTAAAGAAAAGATTCAGCTGAATAAAGTCGAGCAACACACATCCAAATTTCGCTATCACTCTTCACACTTGTCAACTGATCGGCCATTCTTTGTGCATCAAATTCTTTATTCAATAGTTTCCCTTCTTTTACAATTCCTACGCAACAAAAAAAAATGAAATTACCATCAATCTTTAAATAAGTTGCAGTAAGCGAGAATGAGTGTTACCTTCAGCAGCTTGTTTAGCAACAGCTTGACCATTTTCACGTATTTCTGAATTTTTTAGCTCCCATTTCCAAATAAAATCATTTGCATCATCAAACTGGTAGTCAAATGACCTAATCGCTTTTTCTAGATAAGAAAATCTTTCTTCTCTCACCAATTGACTAACATTCACTTCTTCACGTTTCACTGGCCTTTGTCTATTTATATCTTCTTTCTTGATCTGCATGCTATGCTTGAAACTGATGACGTAATCATTTAGCTGCACTTCCTTCTCTTTTCTTTGGTAGGCTTCTTCAATGAACTCATTTTCAAAGTCTGAATATCGTTTCCACTCTCGCTTTTCGTTTTCATTCCACGGGTTCAAATTCGACTGCCAGAACCAGATGATTCTCTTATTCGATGAAGATGTATTTTTGGCGGTGGTCATTTTTGAACTGAGTAATAACCGTAGCCTAGAAAGAACGTTTAAATTAAACCAAAAAATAGGCAACTTAACTTATTAATAAATTACTTTTACGTTGTTTTTCTTCCAAGTAAACACAGAAGTTCACACAATATAGGAGAACGAATATAATAATTTTACTTTTAAAAATGAGTTGTTTTTCATACAAAGAAAAAAAAAAGAAATATTACTGTTTCTTCATTCTTGAAAGACCATTATTTTAATGCAATTGGTGCTTATAGAAAAGGAATAGAAGAAAAATGAAATAATTTTTACATACTTTCATCTATATTTACTTTTTGTTTATGTAAAAGACACGAGAAAAAGAAAAAAAAGTGTGGTGTGGGTGTGAGTGGGTGGGTGGGGTGTGGGTGTGGGTGGGGTGGGTGTGGCTGTGGGTGTGGGTGGCTGGGCTGTGGGTGTGGGTTTGGTGGATGTGGGTGTGGGTTGGGTGGATGTGGGTGCGGGTGTGCGTGTGGGTGTGGGTGTGTGTATGGGTGGGGTGTGGGTGTGCGTTGGGTGGATGTGGGTGTGGGTATGGGTGGGGTGTGAGTGTGGGTGGATGTGAGTGTGGGTGTGAGTATGGGTGGGGTGTGGGTGTGGGTTGGGTGGATGTGGGTGTGGGTATGGGTCGAGTGTGGGTGTGGGGTGGCTGGGTGTGGGTGTGGGTGGGTGTGGGTGTGTAGGTGTGGGTGTGGGTGTGGGTGTGGGTGTGGGTGCGGGTGTGGGTGTGGGTGTGGAGTGTAGGTGTGGGGTGTGCGTGTGGGTCGCACTATACCCACACCCACACCCCACACCCATCCACACCCACGCCCACACCCACCCACACCCACACCCCACCCCGCACCCATACCCACACCCCACTTCGCACCCACACCCACACCCCACACCCCACACCCACACCCACACCCACACCCACACCCACCCACACCCGCAAGACCAAGATATCGTAACTTACGTCTCTACGATTATCATCGTCTTCGTAAGTTTCTAACGTCATTTTTTTTCTATAATTGACTGTAATAATAGATGAGAAATATCTATTGATCTTAGACAAAAAAAAAAGGATCAAGGTTTATTTCCTAAAAATAAAAATTTAGTTTATTTTGAAAGATAATATGTATTTCTCTATAACAAGACAAATACTTATTGCTTTGTTATCTTTTGTAATTTTATAGTGTGAATGTTTGTAAAATCAAAAGATTGATTGTAAATATGAATTGTGATTTTTTTTCTTTTTAGTATCACCTCGTCAATATCAATATCGTTTACCTTATCGATTGAATCGATCATTACCAAATTCACCTCGTCTATTAAGTCGATGTACTACACATTCAACAACACCAGTATCAAAATCGGTTCGAATATCTACTCAATCTATTCCATCGCATACTATTCATTGTCGATCGAGATCTACTTCTCGACCACTTGAATCAATATTACGTCATAGTAGTGCCCATGGAGTAAAATATTGAAGGAAACGGACTGCGTAACGCGTTTCCGAGATTGTAGCATGCGTTTCGCAACGTTTTTGCAATATAGAACGCGTTTCGCAGCATTCTTACTTACATAAAATGCGTTTTGCCACAGTCGTTTTTTGAAACGATCCGAAACGCTTTTTTCAAGATTGCGTTTCGAGGCGTTTCCGAATTAAAATGCTGTCGAACGCACTTTGGTCGACAGGCGACGCGTTCCACAGATACAAATTGGGGGAAACGTAAAACGCGTTTCTTTTTCAAATGTGTGTTGCATTGTTTTTGCTTGGAATGATGCAAAATATATCCATTCTGCATACAGAATCTTGCAAAAATTCACCAACACAAAGCATAGGAGTTAAGCAAAGTAAATTCTTTAAAATTACTTTGGAAATGATATGAAATAGTACTTGAAAGTTTTGCTCCTTGCACTATTTTTGTACGTGAAAATCATGACCCAGGATTTTATGAAGGCAAGACTAAAATCAAAGTCTTGGAAATTTTTAGGCTGCTAGGCTGTTATCTAGACCTAATTCGAAGTTAGACTAATGTAAAACATCAAAGTGTAACAAAAAATATATTCTTCTTACTTAAAAACTCATTTCACCAAGTTTTTATTGAAAGAAAACGTGTTTCGTAAGGTTTACTTAAGAATTGTTTTCGACTTGTACACGGAAGGAGATGATTCCGTCACGCTCGTTTGTAATGAATGAAAAGTTACAGACAAATTTGCAGTGTCTCATTTTGACAAGCACAATTTTTTGTCCAAGATTGCAAATGCATTGGATTCTAGAGATCGAATCATTTGTATGAAATAAAACAAATAAAGCGTGACGGAATCACGTTTTACGTGGACAGGTCGTTTTAAATATTGAGCATTTCGAAGAGATTTAGTAAAGACTGATACTAATATAATTAGTATAGTAACTCTCTTCGGTTATTTGTGAACAAAAGAATTATCGTGTTATCTATAATTTGAATAAATATTAGTTTGAGTTCATACTCGAACTAATTGATAATAACTAATGATACTGTGTACAATACTAGTAAACATGATTTTAGTTTGTACATTGTTGAAGGAAGAGTG